TCTGTGTGTGTGTTTGTGTGTGTGTCTATGTATCCGTGTGTGTGTGTCTGTGTCTTTGCCTGAAGTGTCCTTGTGCGTGTGTGTGTGTGTGTTTCTGTATATCTGTGTGTCTGTGTGTCCATGTGTCTGTGTGTGTGTGTTTGTGTGTGTCTATGTATCTGTGTGTGTCCGTGTGTGTGTCCGCGTGCGTGTGTGTGTGTTTTTGTGTATCTGTGTGTGTATGTATTCGTGTCTTTGCCTGAAGTGTACGTGTGTGTGTGTGTGTATCTGTGTGTCCGTGTGTGTGTGTGTGTGTGTCTATGTGTGTGTGTGTCCCTGCTGCTGTGTGTTTGTTTAGGCGTGTGCCACCCATCTGGGGTTAACCAGCTGTTTTATCAAGGAAGTTCAGAGAGTTTTTCCGCTCCGACTCCCCGAATGAAGGAGGGAAAAAATAAAAAACAGACCCGATGTTTACCTGTTCGCTTTCTCTGAGCTGTGAGCTCGTTTGTACAGCAGCCAGACGCTCTGGATTTGGCCTGTTAGCTTATTTAGAGGCGTGAAACCAAGAGGTGGGAGGCATTGATCCTCACACTGCTCTATATTTATTTATTTTCCTTATGGAGAATTCTTTACTTGGTTAAAAGCAGGTTTAAAATGACAGATTTGCATACAGCTTTATTTATTTTCCTTATGGAGAATTCTTTACTTGGTTTAAATTAGGTTTAAAATGACAGATTTGCACACAGCTTTATTTATTTCCCTTATGGAGAATTCTTTACTTGGTTAAAAGTAGGTTTAAAATGACAGATTTGTATACAGCTTTATTTACTTTCCTTATGGAGAATTCTTTACTTGGTTAAAAGTAGGTTTAAAATGACAGATTTGCATACAGCTTTATTTATTTTTTATTTGTGGAGAATTCTTTACTTGGTTAAAAGTAGGTTTAAAATGACAGATTTGTATACAGCTTTATTTATTTTCCTTATGGAGAATTCTTTACTTGGTTTAAAGTAGGTTTAAAATGACAGATTTGCATACAGCTGAGTATTGTAAAGTGGTTTGGGTCTACGAAAAGAGACTTTGATGTCTAAAAATGTGCCCCGAAACGCATTTTATGACGTTCACTCAAATGGAGACCTGATGTTTTACTTGGATGTTTTTTTCCCCCACCGGGTTAGGACTTTGCTTGCATGCCAAAAGAGAAAAAAAAAAAACATTTTTCAGATATGCAGCTCCGCTTTACAGAGCTGAAACTTGTTTGTCTGGTTTGGAAACTCAATCCTAACCGCTTAGCTGTTCAGAGTAGATCGTCAGCAGGAGGAGAAAGAGGGTGTCATTTTTTTCTGTCCACACTGTACTTTTCCACGGCTGTTGAGTCTCAGACAGAAAGTTTAAACAGTTTAGGGCTCAGAGGGAAGACTAAATACTAAAATGTTCAACTGGATACCGATACTCAGGAAAATACTCAATACCATTTTCGATACCAAAAGGATAAAAACAAAGACCCCAAAATTTAACTGAATTGTGTCTTTCATTTAAAACTGACCTGTTACTGATGTTATCGTGAATGGTGGCCCACATTAATGACCCTAACCCTAACCCTGACCCTAACCCTAACCCTCCACCCTTCATAATTGTGAGAAATAAATATTTTTTGGTTAAACTTGTTTGGACTTATTGTACAAACCTATTTAACATCCATTATTTTAACATAAGATTATGGATAGAGTTTAATTAAGTGTTTGAAAGAATAATTTAACTATTTTAAAATTAATGTCTATATTGCCATGAAGCAATTAGGATTTTCTTGCCTGGGATCTTCCCATTGGTGACCTAATCAAAATGGCCGACTTGGATGTGGGCGGAGTTGGATATGTACTTGATTAAGGGTAGCATGTTATTATTAGCCATTAGGCGTAGCTAGCAGTTCAAGGCTAACGTCTTGTTAATGATCATAAACAACGTAAATAAATACATAAATAAATCAGAGAGAAGGGGCTTGCGCGGTGGTATCGATACTTTTGAAAATGAGTATCGTATCCGGATACAACATTTTAGTATCTATACTTTTTTCGAGTATCGATACTTTTGACAACCCTACTTTGTTGTAAATGTATCAACAAGGAGTGCTTGTTTCTTGCCATGAATTCCTCCGTTCAGCCTCCCAGGTTTTGATTTGGATTTCACCTGCTGCTATGGTGACCTGTGGGGGGGTTTGACCAGTGTTTCTGCAGCTAAAGCCGAACTGAAACGGCTCTTTGAAAAGTCTGGTCAGGGACAGAGGCTCCTTTGTGCGTTGGGGAGCTCCCCTCTGGCACGAGGCTTCCCCGTCTGCAGCCACTCGCTGTGTTTTTGGAGCCGGTTCCT